TATATATTATAAAATGGAAAAATATTTTAAAAAAATATTTTCGATAATTTATGATAAAGGTCAACAATTTCGTAAGAAATGATAAAATGTACTAAAAAGAAAAGCTATAATTGTTTATTTCAAATAACCATTTGACCCAGTTAACAGGTATATTTCAGGCTAAAATTAAAAATATTAATGAATACTTGAATCAATTATTAAAACTTAAATTTGTAAATCAAACTATATGATTTTAACAAAAACAAACATATCAGAAATTAAATTACATAAATCTTTAAAAATATATAATAAATTTTGATGTTTTTTTTTTTTTTTTGTTATTTTGTATAATCTACTAAATATGAAATTCCATTTTACTGCAAAAATTTATTATTGTTTTGTAAATTAGAAGAAATTTTGTTAAATCTATACAAATTTTTACCTTGGATTGAAATCCTGAAACAGTGTTTGCAGATTCATGATTATCAGAATGGTTTTCTAGGCCAACTACTAGATGTAAATCCTCGTGATGACCACCGCGCACACATATATTTCACTAAAAATTGTTTCATTTACCGCAAAATTTACCGCGGAAGAACACGAACGGTGGGTTCTGCATTTGTGTTCGATGAAAAAAATAAATCCCACCGTCTTACATGGGAAAATTCGAATTACACTGAAATTAGCTAAAGGCCAACAGCTGGCGACATCAATACGTCAAATGTAACTCAACATTAGCAGAAAACTTCGTACTTGTAAACTATAATTATGCGTTTATGAATTACAATATTTACAATATTCATTTATACGCATTTAAAAAATAATTATGTTTTTAAATTAAAATTACATAATTGTAAAAAGAATAATCTAAATTATCTATACATGTAAATAAATTATGACTATATATTTTTTTTTAAACTATGCTTTTACTTTAATTCTATTAATTCTATGCTATATAAATATAAGATTTACTTATACTAAATATATAATTGGATTTAATTTAATGTAATATAATTACAAATATCATATTATTATTATGTATTTGAAAAAATTGTTCAAAAAATATATTAACCAATCAGAGTTCGTGCATATGTCGACAACTCGTAGGTTGTTCTATCAATTTCCGTTTTAGGGTACACTTGCCTCTTTTCGTGTCAAACTTCAATCATGGCGGTGGGTAAAAACAAGGGTCTTTCAAAAGGAGGTAAAAAGGGTGTTAAAAAGAAGATGTAAGTAAATCATAATATTTCCATGATGTATTTTAAACATTTCTTGTATGAAAAATATAATTTTTTTTCTGATGTCATTGAAGATGTTTTATATTGAAGCAGATTCTCTATACGCCTGACATTCAGATGTATGCATGGATTCCACGTTTAATATATTGATTTTATTAATATTTAATAATTTACGTAACAAATAATTTTACAGCATTTTATACTTTTTCAAAAATATAATTTTTAATTGTGTAATCATAAATTTAATCCCTAAGAAAAATATTTGTTGTGCCGATATCTTTTTAAGCATTGTTAATATTAATTGAATTAT